TGGATTATAGCCAGCTTAAGCAATACGAATTATCTGGATTATAGCCAGCTTAAGCAATACGAATTATCTGGATTATAGCCAACTTAAGCAATACGGATTAACTGGATTATAACCAACTTAAGCAATACGAATTATCTGGAATATAGCCAGCTTAATCAATACGGATTATAGCCAACTTAAGCAATGCGGATTATCTGGATTATAGCCAGCTTAAACAATACGAATTATCTGGATTATAGCCAGCTTAAGCAATACGGATTATCCAGATTATAGCCAGCTTAATCAAAATTCATCCTTTCTTATTATCAACGGGTTGAAGTAATTATTTTTTTGATTATATTCACTACTCTATACTTCCGTTTTGATTACCATTTTATTATAAAATAAATGATTCAAAATTAAATATCTACATGACAAACTTTGATGGATATAATAAATTGTGAACGAAACCAAACAAAGATTGAAACATTTAGTATTCAGTCTAACGAAATAAATTTGAATGTCATTCCCAAATTCGACGTCATTATTAAATGCCACAGTGCAAGTTAGCTTGTCCTGTTGTGAAAACTGTGGTTCTTTCTATTCTTAACGTGCTCTTCATCATAAAAAGTCAGTACATTAATTTGGTCTTTACATTTTAGCACATGCTGGTCACTATTATTCTCTAAGACAGACGGGGACCAGATGGAGTTGTTGGGGGACCCTGATGACTGATAGTTTGATGGAGCTGTTGGAGGACCCTGATGAATGATAGTTTGATGGAACTGTTGGGGGACCCTAATGAATGATGGTTTGATGGAGCTGTTGGGGACCCTGATGAATGATAGTTTGATGGAGCTGTTTAGGACCCTGATGAATGATAGTTGATGGAACTGTTGGGGGACCCTGATGAATGATAGTTTGATGGAGCTGTTGGGGGACCCCGAAGAACAACAGTATTTTGGACATGCTATATGATAACTGGACAAAATCGTGTAAGGTTGATTACTGACCGCTAAACACAATGAATCACCAGGTACTACCCACGGACTTTAGAAAGGTAAATGGTAAGAAGGAGGCTTTAGAAGTCCAACTTAAGTTCAAGAAGACCCGAACTGACAACAGTGTCATTGGTCGCCTGAACTGGTTTTTGTTGTGTAAGTTATTGTAGTGGAAATGAAAAAGTAGAACAACCAGTTACAAAAGAATTATAGTTACGGATTTGAGTTCTTTAAGTCTTAATCATAAAAATGTAGCAAAAACCAATAGAAAAAACAAACAAAAACAGGTGTAGTTGAGGGTTTGAATTCTCTCTAAGTCTTTATAATACAAAAAGTTACACAAATAACAGTAAAAATATTACTGAAAATGGCACTACCTCCCTCCGAACTTTTCAAGTTAGCCCCCAGAACAAAGTAATTTACCTCTAATAAATAGAATATATATATAATTTTAACGGAAAGTAGGGATCGTTGGTTATTAGTAGAATTTCTATGAGAAGTATCTAAAACAAAATAAATGCTGCAATAAAAAGTACACAAACAAGTAAAGTGATGCTAGTAAGATAGATTTTAAAACGATTTCCAATTCCTAATTTGGTTGGCAAACTTAGACTGCTTCATTTAGCTATACGGATCACAATACTTGATAAATATATAAATAATAATCGCTGGCTTTACGATTTTTAAAATTATTTTAATTTAGTTTAGAGTACGGAACAGCCGAGATGGACCAATAGGTCCCATGTTGTCCCAAAACGTTAGCGATAGTCCGAGTCGTCTAGGCGTTAGCCCCGCTGAGGTGATCAGGTAGGTAGTCGACAAAAACAAGTGTCCGTTTTATAAGTTTCTGAATTATTATACCGGAAATTTTAACGACCTTTTAGCATATTATTAATATATATATATGTATGCATAATGTACTGTAACCAATACTTTGAATGGTCGGTTCTTCACCTAGGACCTTAATAGGGTGATTTTTTAACGCGTGAAGTATTTGGAAACATTGTCAATTCTTACTATTAAGTATCCTACCGTACTTAACAATAAAGAGTGGCACAACAAAGGTAATTTGTGGGCTTACCTAAACCAGTGAATCATATGAATGCTTTGGTCATGTTCAAAAATTCTTATAATGTTACAAAATAACACAAAACTTTCAATTCTTTCGAACCTAGTGTTTTATTGAATTACGGTGTGTGACCAGCGCTATACAGTCCCAAAGTTTGGCAATGTGTTATTTACAGATATACGTTCCATGACTTAATCCCAGCACACACACAAGTACAGAGGTCAACATCTCTCTCCACGTTTCTTCTACTTTCTGAAATCTCACCAATGACAATACAGTACACTTTATGTAACACTAAGGCACAGTACTGTCCTAGTGGGCTGACTGTTTTGAAGTCTCCAAGTTGGTTTATAAGAACCCCCCAGGGTTTACATATGTTCATTACACTTGTCTTTACGGTGAACAGCTCAACAGACTTTCATGGACAACACTGTACCCCCTACTTCTTTCTCCACTACAATTTTATACAATACTAGTCCACATACAAAACTTGGGGCTCATTTAATGACATTCTTACCGAGTCCATCTTAAAATAAGTTTACACTAATTTTTAAAATATTTCTCACAGTTTTATTACCTATATCAAAAATTGTGAAGAAAATTATCTTGGTGCTTGTGAAATCCTCGACTTTAGCTGTTTAACGTACAAGCAACCGGTTAAATCTTTACATGTAAAAACAAATTACAACTCAATATATCGACAGACATAAATGCTGCTAGACGATAAACTGATGTATCGAATTCTGTAATTGAATTAAAAAACTTGACATGAAGCTGTAGGATGAACACTGAATTGTTAAGATAATTTGATTAAATATTTTAAAACTATGAGTACATAAAAGGTCACTTTCCTGGAACATTAGAGTCACAAAGAAATCACACACACAAAAAAAAAAAAGAAAGATGAATAAACATAGGTAGAGTATTATTCGTGACCCAAGCTCTGTGTGTGGACTCCAGAAAGTCATTGGCAACAAGATGAGATTAATGAAACCACGGCTCCACTATAGTGTATTACTACAGTTACTCACGAGGATTATACTTACAAGCACGGGTGCCTGACTCAAAACTAATAGCATATACTCAATCCAGCATGGCTGTCTGGCTCAAAATTAACAGTATAATCAATCCAAATTTTTTTCCATAGTTTAGAGAGAGCAAAAAAAAGCAAATTTAATTTTCAAAAGGAATGACAAGAAGAAACATCTGTGTACAGTGGAAACAGGTGTAAGACTTAACTCGGGCTTCTCTCTTTTTACCTTCAAACAGTCAGAAGTCAAATTTGTTTTATCTATACCGACCAAAAGTCAGTAGCTATCAGTATTCACAATAACTTCTGACTAATCATTTCATTCCAAGATTAGCCACTGGCTAGCAAATGTCTAGAAGTAAAATAAACATCTGTGTACAGTGGAAACAGGTGTAAGACTTAACTCGGGCTTCTCTCTTTTTACCTTCAAACAGTCAGAAAGTCAGTAGCTATCAGTATTCACAATAACTTTTGTAATGAAATAATTAGTCAGAAGTTATTGTGAATACGGATAGCTACTGACTTTCTGAAGGTAAAAAGAGAGAAGCCCGAGTTAAGTCTTACACCTGTTTCCACTGTACACAGATGTTTATTTTACTTCTAGACATTTGCTAGCCAGTGGCAATCTTTTAATGAAATGATTAATCAGGATTAGAAGTAAAAGAAAAATTTTCAAAAAGCTATCACCTCAATCAATAGTTCTATTAGCTGTTCCCAGGTATACACACACACACACTCATGTTTCAAGAAGGTCATAAAAATTACCTATTGTACAACTATGTTTTTTTATCTCTTAATTTATCACTAACATAATAAAAACAGAGGAACGAAAAAGTGAGATTATCTTGGTCTTGACAAAGAGAATTAAATGGACAGAAAAAAATTACCTGATTTGTTTGTGTGTTTCTTAAGTCCATTTCACCACAACATGTTTATCTCTTAACAAAGTAGTGACAATAATCTTGAACAAAAGAAAAACTACGTTCAGTAGTGGGCATATAGATTACGATCTGTTCTCCTCCAAGATAAAAAAAAGTTTCCTCGGAGTACCTAAAATACAAGAACCAACCAGAGGTCACAGGATTGATTCAATACATTCTACTTCTCGCTAACTGGGCCTCAGTATTACACAGAAAAAGTTTCGTCTATAAACAAAATAGGATGAAAAATAACAATAGTTTGATCCGAAGACTAATTTTGATCTTAGCAAAAAACTTTGAGAGAAAGGGATAGATATTGCCAACCATTTTCTAGAATTATGGTGTATAAGCCAGGAAGTCATTACATATAATACACCAAAACTGCCTTATAAACCTGTGAGTATCACAGCAATATCAAAGAGAAGTTCTAATCTATGCACAATTTCTAAATTTTATTTTAAATACCATTTTCTCAATTCGCCTTTTAATTCTTCAAAATATACAATAACTGGTAAATATTCCACGCAAAGGCAAAATATTCAACACCGAACAAACAAAACATCCTGCTGAATAAACATGGTAATCAATTCTGGTGGATTGGTGTCACTTGGGGAATTAAAAAAAAACAACAACACAAAACAAGTAACACAAGATCACTAGCACCATTAAGTAGGTAAACACTTTTAACGTACGAAACAGGAAAATAAAATAAACCCACAAGTTTCCTACACTTACATTCTTTAGTAGTTTTGTACCTGTTTTCAGAACAACGTGTGTTTAATTAAAACGAAAACTGTAGGAGAAGTTTTTGTTCTTTGTTTTTGTCCTGGGCTAGTAAGGATAGAAGTTAAATAGCACACCTAAATACACCTGTAATTATAATGTTAAGGTGAAAGTTCACTTCTTTAACTGAGTAATGTTTAAACTACAACCAAGAAATGCCACGTCCCTATTACCCGAGATGTTCAGGTGCTTATCACCTGACCCTTCAAAGCCGACGACAGAGATATTCACTAGCAAGTTGCAGGTTTGGTATAGACATACACAGAGCTTGTTCTGGTGAGATTTATTAAAAAATTCAACAATAGGTATGATGTACAGGATATTCAATACCTTACTTTAAATCATTGTACCATCGAGCTACACAGAAACAACACAAGTGACAACTTTCTGGATTCCCCAAGTGACAAGTCTTCAACAGTCTACCTAATACGGCAAATTTACAAAAGGTGCCACCCTTGCTTCTTCCTGCTGGCAAACTCGAGACTTCGGGGGTTCTCTCACGGAGGCGATAATGTGGCACTGGCAGCCGTCAGTGGACGCTTTCTTACAAGTCCGGGAAGCAGAGTAAGCGCGGCTCTCTACCAATACCGTGCACCCATGCGGCCGTGATGGTGTAGTCAATGGGGGCATTCTGCACACCTCTCAGAGCTGGGTGTGAGTGAACGAACTGGCACTGTTACTGTGGGCCAGACTTAACATACTTCCACTGATGCTTAAATCATCATCTGCTACTGGCTCTTGTGATGCTCGAGCAATCTCCAGAGCATTGAAACCTAGCTTGGCACTCTCTTCATCAAAGGCTTCAATTTCACGTGCCTGTCGTTCTAGCAGCAGACGCTGACGTTCTGCCCGCTCCTCTTGGAACTGAAGCTTTTCTTGTTCCATCTGGAAGAAAAAATATTGAGTATTCTTCCACTATAATGTTTCTAACGTACTGAGTAACCATTGCTATTAGGGTTTTCTAACGTACTCAGTAACCATTGCTATTAGGGTTTTTTAACGTACTCAGTAACCATTGCTATTAGGGTTTTCTAACGTACTGAGTAACCATTGCTATTAGGGTTTTCTAACGTACTCAGTAACCATTGCTATTAGGGTTTTTTAACGTACTCAGTAACCATTGCTATTAGGGTTTAAAAAATACTCGGTATCCTTCTCTGTTAACGTTTTAAAGATAATCGGTAACCTTCTCTGTTAACGTTTTAAAGATACTCGGTAACCTTCTCTGTTAACGTTTTAAAGATACTCGGTAACCTTCTCTGTTAACGTTTTAAAGATACTTGGTAACCTTCTCTGTTAACGTTTTAAAGATACTCGGTAACCTTCTCTGTTAACGTTTTAAACATACTCGGTAAACTTCTCTGTTAAGGTTTTAAACATACTCGGTAAACTTCTCTGTTAAGGTTTTAAACATACTCGGTAAACTTCTCTGTTAAGGTTTTAAACATACTCGGTAAACTTCTCTGTTAAGGTTTTAAACATACTCGGTAAACTTCTCTGTTAAGGTTTTAAACATACTCAGTAACCTTCTCTGTTAAGGTTTTAAACATACCCAGTAACCTTCTTATTGAAATGAAAACTATACAGCAGAACTACTGTAAAAATATAAATGGCTGTCAGGCAGAGCCTGACTGGATGTGGCATCATGAACTGTCACCGTGTAGTTAGCTCCAAATTCATTTAAGTACAAGTACTCAACACTTGTTTAACACAATCGAAACATCAACACCTACTTTTTGTTCTAGTAAAGCACGCCTCATGGACACTCTTTCTTCCAACTCTCGTCTCTCACGATTACGTTGAGTTTCTGCTTGCATACGAATTTTACTCTGAAAAGCAATGAGAAGTTCTCGCTCTTGCTCTAACTGCTCCTTTAACTGTCGAGCTTCCATTTCCTGAGACTCGTCTAAACGGATCTGAAATTAAAAAAGACATATCAGAAACTCGGTGTATTTAAACTTTCTTCTGTGCCTGTTTTAGACCTGATAGAAGTTTTAATAAATCTTCATTTGACTTGGTCGTATAGTTGATCCTGTAGTCGTATACGAACTTTCACACAAGTGTCTTACTCGACAAATAAGAAACGCTTCCCCCTACTACGTAGATATTTTACAGATTACAGTTTCAACTAACCATTACAAAAATTCTTGCTCAAACTAGCCTGCGTTAATTTATTGTTTCAGCATATCATAATGACATTCACGACTTACAGATTGTTTCTGCAGCATCTCAGCTATACTCTGTTCATACTGTTCACCCAGTATGGCTAACTTTCGTCTCTGTTCATCTTTCAGCTTCTTGATAACGGCCTTTTGTTCTTCTTTAGGAGTCGTCGAAAGTATCTGATTTTTCCATGCCTTGTACTGGCGAGTCTGAATCTTGCACGTCTCACGAAACTGCTTTCTAATCTGAAGCTCTTTTTGCTGTCAAATTAAAATGGTTACTGGGATTTTAACTCACTCGGGTGGTTAATTGATTTCAATAAGACAAACGACTTAATGCTGATTCTTTAAAAAATATAAACTTCTCTTATTTCAACTTGAAACCTCCTACTTAAACAGAATTTTATGGTTTTTAGTATAATCTTTAATGAATTATTAAACACAGGAGCCAAAGATACAACTTTGTTTGGAAACCTCGAATGAAAGATTAGAAGTGTACTTGGAACACATGAATGTAAGATACGAAACAGGAATCAAAGAAACTCTAAAGAAAAGATCTTTTACAAATAATTTTAACGTGTGACTTCATTTATAACCCATAATTTTTTCCAAACAGAAAAGTTGATATCAGTTATTAAAAAGTCTCAACGTACTATCCTGTATTTACTTTTTCCACAATATGTATCCTAATATTTCTTAGTCATTTTTCAAGTATTATTCTAAAATATATCATGAAATTTATGTAGTCTTTGATAATGCAGCCACACCTTTAAACTTTTTGGCTGTTGTTTGACTTCCATGGCATGTTTCTTCCTCAACTCTCGCTCCCTACGACTATTATATTCTTGTTGATTGGCTAGTTCTGTGTGGTGCTGCTTACGGACTTGCTCTTCCTTAAGGTGGTGGACTGCACGTTGCTGTCTGTAAGCTAGTTCCTGGGTCACGTCGTGGTGTTGAAGAAGCATTGTGTGAGCCTGTTCCAGCTGACTCTGCCTTTTGTTTAATTCCTGGACAACAGTAACAGATTTTTAAAATTTACAAATACATGTATATTAGAACCTACTTTAACAGTTTTAATAAAATTATTTAGTTTGGGCCAAAAAACTGTTGAGTCATTCACAAAGCACTTTAATAATGACCACTCAAAACAGTTACAGTTGCAATGGCTAACTTGAAAAAGTTACAGCTGCAATAGCGAACTTGAAAAAGTTACAGCTGCAATGGCGAACTTGAAAAAGTTACAGCTGCAATAGCGAACTTGAAAAAGTTACAGCTGCAATAGCGAACTTGAAAAAGTTACAGCTGCAATAGCGAACTTGAAAAAGTTACAGCTGCAATAGCAAACTTGAAAAAGTTACAGCTGTAATAGCGAACTTGAAAAAGTTACAGCTGTAATAGCGAACTTGAAAAAGTTACAGCTGTAATAGCGAACTTGAAAAAGTTACAGCTGTAATAGCTAACTCAAAACGATTTTGTCGCTCAGGGATAAACTGTCATAATAAAATCCAGCAATATAAATAGTCTCTCAACCACTAACGTGTTGTATTTCAACCGGTCTGATGAGCGAAAAGTTTCTGCTTCAGACACTGGATATAAGATATAGTGTGGTTGATGTATTATTGTATTCTCCTTTTATTTTTCTCTCTCACAAGTTCTAAGAATAACTAGACGGGAGAACACCACTGGAGGGACAAAGATATGTTATACTTGAATACAGAAGCACATTAGGCTAATATAGTAATAGATGGCAGTCGATTTATAACAAATAATATAATAAAGTGGTATATTTAGGTACCAAGCATACAGGGTTTATATATATATAAATACATAGACTAAAGGTTTTAATGTAAACCATGTTCCCCCCATAAAAGTAAATCACTTCACTATGTTTATATATCAATTTATTATCAAAAATATGTCATGAACAACTTTCATCAGTTGAAAGCTGACTGTATGCAAGTGTCTCCCAGCACTTTGTGTTGAACAACTTTCATCAGTTGAAAGCTGACTGTATGCAAGTGTCTCCCAGCACTTTGTGTTGAACAACTTTCATCAGTTGAAAGCTGACTGTATGCAAGTGTCTCCCAGCACTTTGTGTTGAACAACTTTCATCAGCTGAAAGC